AAACAACCTAGAGTCTACTGTTCAGCAAATTCTTGACATGGGTGGAGGTAGTTGGGACCGTGACACTGTTATCCGTTCCCTAAGAGCCGCCTTTAATAACCCTGAAAGAGCTGTCGAATATCTGTACTCAGTATATCTCATTCCACTTCTTGATTCTAGTTACTTATTCATTATATATACTTACCTTTGGTTTGCCACAACTCTGTATGCTTTGGTCTATCTTTTGAACATTTGTTTGATAAATTAAAGGGAATCCCTGCTCAAGCTGAAATCCCACCAGCCCCTGGAGCCCCAGCTACTGGTGTGCAGGCAGCAAACCCTCTAGCACAGTCCCAACAAGAAGCTGCTCCAGTGCCTGCAACTGGTGGTCCAAACGCTAATCCGTTAAACCTGTTTCCCCAGGTGTATATAATTGACTTGTATCATTTTATTTTCCTTGCGTTTGAATTTGTTTGTTGACATCCATTCTTGTCCGTCTTCACTCAGGGCATGCCAGCTGCAGATGCTGGTGCTGGAACTGGAGCTGGTAATCTTGATTTCCTGCGTAACAGTCAACAGGTATCTTCATGTTCTTTTCCATTTGAGTAAAGAAAGCTTCAACATTCCCCTTTATGGAAATTGCAATTTTTTCCCAATTCTTCAGTTCCAAGCCTTGAGAGGTATGGTACAAGCAAACCCGCAAATTTTACAGGTACATATATCCCCACCTCTGTTTAATTCCTGTTTTGGTATCACATACTTATTTTCAGCTTATACTGTTTTGTTTCTGCAGCCTATGCTTCAAGAGCTCGGTAAACAAAACCCACAGCTTGTGCGACTCATCCAAGAGCACCAGGCTGACTTCCTACGCTTGATAAACGAACCTGTCGAGGGAGAGGAGTGAGTTTATATCATCATTCATTCTCCTAAACATTTTTCATTTTTTTGTTTGTCCAACAATGCATCCAATCAAAGCTGAACTCTCGTTTACTCACCAATACAACCTGCAGGAATGTCATGGAACAGTTGGAAGGAGCAATGCCACAAGCTGTTACCGTCACACCTGAAGAGCGTGAAGCCATTGAACGGGTTTGTTCCCTCGTTTTCTCTTCATTTGTACTTGAACTAGAACTGTAGACATCTAATACGTCTGTCTTGTATCAAAATTTGGGTGTACAGCTTGAAGCGATGGGGTTTGATCGTGCGATGGTCTTAGAGGTGTTCTTTGCGTGTAACAAGAACGAAGAACTTGCAGCTAACTACCTTCTAGATCACATGCATGAGTTTGAGGAACAATAATGGAAGAAGAAATCCATCTCATTTCCTAAACTCAGAGACCCATCTTTATGTTTCTTCTTGTTTTTCGTTTGCTTTTATGAGATAATCTATCTTCTCCGATGCGATGCCTTTGACAAGTTTCATGTTTATGTTAATGGGAGTTGATGTGTTTATGTTACATTTTAAAAACTTATCATATCATAGCTTATCTGATTTGAAGGTGTTCCTTCTTCCTCTTTTATAACCTTGGGCTTAAATACCTTTGTAATGGTTACAGTTGGACCATTTACTTGATCATTATAGCTATATTTGGTTGTTTTTTGATTCACCCTCTGTAAAGATTGGTCAAGTGGTATTGTCGGGAAGGTGAAAAGTGATTGACGTTTTTGAATGGTGTCAACGGTGTGAACCACACAATGGAGGAAGGAAGCGTCCTGCTGTTCCATTTTTTCCTTCATAACTCTTGCATCTTTAGAGCATGCATTTCCAACAGATTTTTATCTGCTCATTTTTGAAGGGTTTTGCATTCTATTAGACCTTTTAACTCCTCAAATTTTAAGAGGTGAGCAGTATACACTCAAATTTGAGGGTGTTCTGTTCATCTCCTTAAAACACTATTCACTTTTCACTTTAGTCTTTTTATTTATATATGCTTAAGGATTGTGTACTTATTATTTCTTATGTAATATTTTACTATTATAGTTATATTGATATTTAAATAATAATATATTAATAAATATTTTATACCATAATATTAATAAAAATATAATATAAACATTATTTCACATAATATATTTTGAAAATTTATGCAAATACAAAACTATAATACAATCATAATATTTTACATCAAAATAAAAGTTACATAAACTAAAATATTACACATTAAAATATTTATTATAATACTAATATTCAGGTAAATCCATAAGCTGACATATTACATATTAAAATATATATTTCAATACTAATATTCATGTAAATTTGGTCTTGAAGCTCCAAAAACACCAAAATATTCATTATCTTTGGTTTGTTGTTTTATCTTCGATTTGTTGTTGCTGAGTTCTTTTTTATATGATTCTTGCTTGTTCAGATTGGATAAACTGGCGAGTGTTAATATCATCGATGGACTTAAAAAATTTCAACAAGATTTTATTTCAGCCTCCATTATATTATGTTTTATGTTTTCTATCTTTATTATAAGTAATTTGATGTTATAATTAAATTTGTTTACTAATTATGTCAATATCATATATGAATGTGTTTATTGTTTATTTATTAAAGTTTAATGACAATAATTAACTACTAACAAAATTGAAGACTAAAGTTTAAAATATAAAATTTTAAAAGAAAAAAAGGTCACCATTGGACTCTTGAAAATGAGGAGATTTGTTGGAGATGCTCTTATGGGGAAAAAAATTGTGAAAGTGGGTTGTGGTGCGAGTTATCAAATTAGATTTGGTTTGTCATAAAGTTTAATTTGCGATGTGGATTGTGACATTTTTTGATCTTGCGTAAGTCTTCCAGAAAATATGTAAGACATATTTCTCGATCCAAATAATCATGAAATACCACACTGTCCTCGCACATGAGAGGTTTTCTCTCTTTCCTAAATAGACGACCCAATAATTTCGTGACTCTAGGCGCTTAATCGAAAAACCACCGCCAACTTTATTTATTGTTCTTCTCTTTCTCTATTCTTCAAATCTCTTCTCTCTCAACTACTGTAAACCCATAAGTCGAAAAGTAAGTAGAAAGTCTTAGAACCAGTTGTTCTTTCTCTTCAAAGCGAGTCGTTTCCTCATTGCTTCAAACCGGAGATTATGGTATCGAAATCGAAGAAAACCGAAGCTATGTTTTTCTCCAGCTCTGTTCCCTTCTTAATTTCTCTCTCGGCACACAATTTTGTACAACGAACTCTCCTCCATCTGATAGGCTGTAGCAATCATCTCCAGAAGATCAATTGGTTTGCTCATATTCACCACTTGAAGTCTCTCCAGCTTGTGAAATTGCTTATGTGAGCTTCACTGTTGAACCAACTCAACACATCACCTGCAAGACTCGCAGAGAAAATCTCCAACTTTATTCTCTCATCGTAACTTCCTATTCGGAAAATATCGCTCCAAATTCACTGGATCATCGTCGCTCTGGTTCCGTAGCGCTTTCTTCATTTCGTCGTCGCGATTGTTAGCTCCAGATCGCCCAAGGCCGCACCAATTTGATAGAGAATAGATGTATTTTATTGAATAACCTCCCAATCACCCTCTCTTGATCTCTTAAGACTTAGAAAGTCAAGCCAATTACAATTCAAAGTAGAAATCAGGCCTAAGCCAAAACCACGCTAACTTCCAATTAACACTAGGTCCTTTTATACTACTATATACTAAAGCTCATTCACAAATAATCTAACAAACTCTAACTGCCACTCTCGACAGCTAGTGCCAGCTCATTATTCTTCTGATCCCTCTCTCTTCTCCTCCTTGTATAAACGCATAATGGCATATCAGAACTATAGTGTATGACACTTGCCGTGGTGAAGGTTGGGAAGTAAGCCAGAAGAAAAAGCAATAAATAAAAATCACCAAGGAAAAAAAAGAGCTCTGGTTTTATGCAAAATCAGTAAGAAACTACAATTCTTAGTTGTGATGAAGTTAGCCTCTTTCTACTGAGAGAAATAATGTACATACTTAACAAGGTGATGTTTCCTTATTGCAGTTGTTGGTTATTCATGGTGATGCTTTGTTTGTTCTGACTCATAAACGAGATCCACTAAACTTTACAGATATGGAGGCAGCAGCAGATGTTCTAGACATTGTACACATACATTAATTTGATTTATTATTCCAAAGACAACAATAGGAATCAATGCTCTGACGTGATTATAGTCCAAATTTGTTTAGGTTATCATTAAACTTAAAGCAAGCATCTACAACTTTTCTAAAGGTTAAACAACAAGAACCCAGCGAACATCTACTTATTTATTTAAACATAGAGTTAGAAACACACTCTTTACAGTACGATCCATAAATATTAAATAAACCCCAGAACCTAATCGTCCTAGCTCAATGGCTTTCTTTATTATTAACAAACACAATTCAAACAGCCCAACCATAAGTCAACTAACTAATGTTAAAACCTTAATGATAAAATATGTATCCCTATAAGCAGCACTATTCGTCAATAAAATATGCCACTCGGACTCTCCATTGTTGGATTAAGCTTGAAGAAAAAAGGAAACTTGAGAAATAAGTTAACGATAATTCTATTGAGTTATAGAATAGGAAAATATATATTTGTGATTCCTAATGAGTTTAGGAAATATGGAGATATATATAAGGAGATGCATATGATGTTGCATAACTTATGAGATGAGAGATGAGTCTTTGTGATTGTGTGAGAGCTTAAGGTTTTTTTGAGAGAGTTTTCCTTAAGAGAGTTTGTGAGTTGAGCTCTTGAGTTTTGAGTGATTTTCTCAAGAGATTAATAAGAGAGTTATTCTTATTATTGATTTTTACATAAATCGAGATTCTATATTTGGTATCAGAGCTTTAGGTTCGTAAGATCGCTGTTCAGATCGGGAGATTGACGGGTATTGCTCACGAAGAATACTGTTCATCAAAGGATCTTAAACCTAATATCAAACCCGAGCAATTGGAGACGAAGTTGTAATGACGAAGACAAAAGGAGGGAAATCTTCTATTAAGTATTTGATTTTAAATTCAACGAGCTACACAATATTAGCTATTAGAATGAAGAACCTGAGTAAATTTCATAAGGTATGGAGTATTATAGAAGAAGAAGAGCACTCGAACTTCAAACCTCTTATGGCGTACACGAGAACATCGAAGCTTCGTGAATGGATGGAACAATGTGAACGATCTTTCTTGAGCATCTTGATTCATAGTCTTCGGCAACACGCAACGCGTATGCTCTCTCTCTACGGATCAAAGAACGGTACGGTTTTTGAGCGATGGAGACAACAAGATGCATCACAATGGATGACTGAGCATAAGATATGGAGTTTAGTACTTGAAGACTACACAATACTCTTTCATCTGATTGAGAACGTGTTAGGTTTTGAAGAAGCAGAAAATTTCTTGGAGGTCCCAGAGCATCTTAGAAACGAGTTTATGTACACTGCGAGAAGCGAAGAGTCAGGGAAGAAAGACCTTGATAGAGCAGAAACTGTTTTCAAAAGGATGAGGGAAGTAGGTTTATTCTTGAAACCTTCACCGTTTAGCTCCATGACATCCCACTCTGTTAAGAACAGAGTTAAAGTAGATGAGATACTAACAGAGAAAAGGATGTACGATGAATTTGTGAAGCTATGGGCCGATCAGAAGGAGACAGCGAATCTTCACAAGATACTTACCATGTATAGACACGAGACAAGCAAGATTATTACACAGATATGTGTTGTTATTAGTAGAGGAAAGATCTTGGTGAACCATGTGACTAGGTTTGCAAAGCTGACCGTGACGGCGAAAGACGAATACAAAGTCACCATGAAAATACAGAGGAAGGTTTTATTGGAGAGGAGCAAGGTTTTTATGGAGAAGATGAGTTGTAGAGAAGAAAAAGGAGTCTCTCATATGGTGGAGATTAGCGAGTGTGATCAAGTTGAGATCTATGTAAAGAATGTGGTCTTGACATATTATAATGATCTCAAGAAGAAGTTGGTCGATGAAAACGTCATGGAGATTTTATCTTTACTCCAGATTTCTGTTGCTATATCGTTTAATGAAGGGGTGATGTCATGTGAGGAGAACTTGGAAGCTGATCCATGGTCAGAAGATGAAGAAGATATCGGTGTGTCATGTCTTGATGAGCTTCATCTTCCTGAAGAAGAAGTCACTTTGAGTCTACAGAGAGATTCATCAGAACCGACGAGAGCTAAAATAGATGATGTATTTTTGAAGCTACACTCTGGTGCTTTACATGAAAAAGATGATGAAGCTAGGCGAGAGATGAAAGTTTTGATCTTTAATTTACATAAAAAAGAAGCTGACCATGAAGTCTCTACAGATACTCTTTACGGGAAAGACTATGATGCTCTCATTGGAGAGATCACCAGAGAAGCTGATAATATGCCGTGGATGATGGATAAACCGATCATGAAGAAGTACAACAAAGATATAAGCAAAGATCACCAAGCGCTTGGTAAACTTAGATGTGAATGCAAGTGTAAACGAGCTTTGAGCAATCAACACCAAGTACAAGTTGAGATCGGATCTCAAGACAATGTAACTGACTTCTCTGAGCTTTTAACTAAAGCGAGATTTGAAGAACTCAACATGGACTTGTTCAAGAAGACGATGGAGCCAGTGAAGAAGGTCCTTAAAATTGGGGAGTTAAAAAATTATGACATAGATGAGATAGTTCTAGACAGAGAAAGAGCTAGAATCCCTAAAGTTCAGGAGATGCTAAAGGATTTCTTTAACGACAAGGAACGCAATGAAGGGACTAACTCTGATGAGGCTTTATCTTGTGGTGCATACAGGTTTCCCTTTCTCCTATCCTCAACTCTCTTGCATTTTATGGCAATGGTGGTGGCGACAGAAAATGACGACACCAGCCTCAATAATCCCTTGTCTCCGGTGGAAGAGAAAATTTTGTCTAAGAGTGTCAAGAAAGAGCAACTGAGGCAGCAAAGATACGAAGCAAAGAAGGCAGAGAAGGAGCAAGAAGAGAGTAAGGAGATGGTGAAGAAAGCCATTGAGGTGCTCGACGAAATATATGAACCGGACGAGTACGTGTTCGCGTGTCGTCTTGATGAGTTGTGTGAGAACGGTAGCGATGTTGCAAGCTTTTCCGAGGATATGAGATCACGATTTAAGCCAAATCATACGTATTTTGCTTCGCTGTTGTATGGTTGGTGCATAGAAGGGAAGATGATGAAAGCTAAGCATGTTTTGGTTCAGATGAAGGAAGTTGGGTTTGAGCCTGACGTTGTTGATTACACTAACTTGCTGAGTGGTTATGCGCATGCTGGTAAAATAGCTGATGTTTATGTTGTTTTGAAAGGTATGAGGAGAAGAGGGTTTGAGCCTAATGCAAATTGTTACGCTATGATCCAGGCATTATGTAAGGTAGATAGAATGGAGGAGGCGATGAGTGTATCGGTTGAGATAGAGAGGATGAAGCAGATAGGGTATTATCTCGATCATGACATTTACAATGTTGTTATCAGATTGACTTGTAAACTGGGAGAAGTGAAGGAAGCTGTTCGGTTATGGAACAAATTGGAAGCAAACGATTTGCGTCCTGAAGTTGACATGTTTGTTATTATGATCAATGGATTAACAAGCCAAGGTTGTTTAATCAAAGCCTGTGATTATTTCAAGGAAAAGAAGCTAGAAATGGCTGAAGATATTTGGTGTTGCATCACAAGCATAGGCACTTGCGAGCTGAATGTAACGTCTTGGACAATATGGATACATGCCTTGTTTTCGAAAGGTTATGTGAAGGAGGCATGCTCTTGTTGTGTTGAAATGATAGAGATGGACTTTATGCTGCAACCTAATACATATTCTAAGCTTGTGAAGGGTTTAAAGAAACTGCATATACTGAATTCTCGGTGGAGATTACGGAGAAGGTGAGGAATATGGCAGCTGAGAGAGAGATAAGTTTCACTATGTATAAGAGAAGAGGTATAATGATTTGGGGTTCTGAGAAAGAAACACGTAAGACTACTCTTGGTAGAGTTGATACAAGCGGAGACCATTTCTTTTTCTGTGAAATAAAGTTACAAACAACTTCTGAGATACCAATTGTTGGAGAAAATGATAGTAGTCACAGAGTTGACCCAGATGATGGCAAGAGCATGATAAGCACTGAAGACACAAGGTTGGGGGATTTGATCGAAACAATCGATATAACAACATGTGGAAAAATCCTTATAAGAGAATGTGATGAAAAAATGGATTGAGTGAAGTCAAGCACGATGATGTGAGGCTGCTGATTGGAGTACATGAAGATGAGTTCAAGTTTAAGGGGGAGAATGTTGGATTAAGCTTGAAGAAAAAAGGAAACTTGAGAAATAAGTTAACGATAATTCTATTGAGTTATAGAATAGGAAAATATCTATTTGTGATTCCTAATGAGTTTAGGAAATATGGAGATATATATAAGGAGATGCATATGATGTTGCATAACTTATGAGATGAGAGATGAGTCTTTGTGATTGTGTGAGAGCTTAAGGTTTTTTTGAGAGAGTTTTCCTTAAGAGAGTTTGTGAGTTGAGCTCTTGAGTTTTGAGTGCTTTTCTCAAGAGATTAATAAGAGAGTTATTCTTATTATTGATTTTTTACATAAATCGAGATTCTATATTTGTTGGAATTGTGAAAGTCCATGTCCAATTCTATATTTTCATATTAGTATGATATTGTCCACTTTGGGCCTAATAGGCTGGCCCGCATGGATTTACTTTTGGTTTCCTTCCCAAAAGGCCTCGTACTATTAGAGTTGGACTTCTCTTTATATATTAGACACTCCTTGTCTAATTCTCCAATGTGGGACTTAATTTGTTATCTCACATTTTCCCCCTCAAACTAAGGATCACATTCATCTCGTGTCCCACAACTGACTCCAGGATCTTTTGACTTGATCTCTGCCACACATACCTCCCATTCCTAACTCGAAGGGTACCCACTCACTTGATCTCTGCCACACATACCTCCCATTCCTAACTCGAAGGGTACCCACTCATCTCTCGAAGGGTATTTTGGTTTTCTTGCAGATTTCTCGTCAACCGCTCTGATACCAATTGTTGGAATTGTGAAAGTCCATGTCCAACTCTATATTTTCATATTAGTACGATATTGTCCACTTTGGGCCTAATAGGCTGGCCCGCATGGATTTACTTTTGGTTTCCTTCCCTAAAGGCTTCGTACTATTAGAGTTGGACTTCTCTTTATATATTAGACACTCTTTGTCTAATTCTCCAATGTGAGATTTAGTTTGTTATCTCACATCCATCACGTCTGCTGCAATACCCAAAGGTTATTACATTGACCTTCGAAACAAAAAATATGAGTGATCGCATATGAAACTGTACACCATTAACCAAAACCGTAAAAACATAAAACATGAGTAGAGGAACACCTCTATTCCTCATATAAAATGCAACATGCTAGCAGAGGCGAATGAGAGTTCATTTTGACTAGGGTTAAAATATTATAGAAAAAAATTATAAGATCAAGCCTAGATTTGAATACTGGTTTAAGAGGGTTCAATAGATAACTTTAATGTTTAATCAAAAATGTTGTTGACCCATTAAACAGTTTACATACACTTAGAAAGTTTACGAAGTTTATGTCGTGACACATGAACCCATATTTTTTCTAAGTGGATTCGCCATTACCTGCTACCATCACTCTGTTAACCACAATACAAATCATCCCATGTTTACTACAAAATTCCAAGCACCAGAAATGTAAATACAATATACTACATTCACATACATAACGAATTACACAATAATATAATAATTTTTTTTTCCGACAACGGATACTTATATTGATGCTGCACGATGGTCCTCATGGAGGAGATTTACAATAGTGTTTGGTACACATAGAAATGACTAATATAGAAATTCGAATCTTGAAACCACTACAAGAAAACTAAGAATTTACTAGAAAATTTTACTAGGAAAATAATTCCTCGTAAATTTACTACGAACTTACTTTGGTTTTACGAGGAAAACAAGTTTTCTCGTAAAGTCCTCGTATAGTTACGAAAAAAGCTTTCCTCGTAAGACCGTAGTAAACTTACGAGGAAACTATGTGGAAAAAGACCATTTCCTCGTAAACTCGTAGTAAATGTTTTCCTCGTAATGTTCTAGTAAATCTTTACTACAAAATTAGGAGAAAATAATCTTTTACTTCAAATTAGCGAGGAACTTGATAGAAAATATCTAATTTAAATCTAAAACGTGTTTTGTACTTACTTTTCCTAGCAATTTCCTAGTAAATGCTCAGATTCGAAAATTTCTATAAGTACCACCATTTGTGATTCATTTCAAACACACCAAAAAAAAATAATCAGCTTTAAGCTTGATCAAAGATACAAAAATGTCCGGTCCGGGTAATATTTTCGAGTTGCGGAAGTGGATGTATTAACACAAAGATAATAACGGGAGAGTGACGAAAGAATATCTCGAAGGGTTGGAGACGTTTATGCATCAAGCATATTCTACACCACTCACGCAGGAAAGTGATAAGATGTTATGTCCTTGTCGGAAATGCTGCAATACACAATTAGGCCCTCGTGAAAATGTTTGGAAGCATTTAACAAATAGAGGTTTCATGCCATATTATTATATTTGGTATCAACATGGAGAATATGCTAGCTGTAGGAATGAAGGTAGCAGTAGTAATAGCAATTTTCAGGTTGAACCGGTTGATCATTTGCGTAACGAAAATAGCTATCATCACCAAGAAGAACAAATGGTAGATTGTGATAGGGTTTATGATATGGTAGGTGATGCATTTGTAACTCATGATGATGATGAAGTTGAAGAACCTAACTTAGATGCAAAAAAGTTTTATGAAATGTTAGAAGCTGCGAATGAGCCAATTTACAGTGGTTGTAGAGAAGGTCTGTCTAAATTGTCGTTGGCTGCTAGAAGGATGAGTATTAAAACCGATCACAATCTACCTGAAAATTGTAGGGATGCATGGGCAGACTTGTTTAAAGTGTATTTGCCAGAAGACAATGTGTCTGCTGAATCTTATTATCAGATTCAGAAATTGGTATATAGTCTTGGGTTGCCCTCGGAGATGATAGACGTTTGCATCGACAACTGCATAATTTACTGGGGAGATGATGAGAAGTTAGAAGAATCTCGATTTTGTAAGAAGCCACGATTCAAACCGCAAGGTCAAGGGCGTAATAGGATACCGTAACAAAGGATGTGGTACCTACCAATCACAGACAGATTGAAAAGATTGTACCAATCTGAGGAGACTGCTAGAGGGATGAGATGACACGCCGAGCATACTCAGACGGATGGAGAGATGACTCATCCATCAGATGCAAGAGCCTGAAAACATTTTAACAATGTACATCCACATTTCACTAGCAATAGCCGGAATGTGTATCTTGGATTATGCACTGATGGATTTAGTCCATTTGGAATGTCTGGGAGACAATATTCATTATGGCCGGTCTTTCTTACACCGTATAACCTGCCACCAGAGATGTGCATGCGACGAGAGTTTCTATTCATGACCATATTAATACCTGGTCCAAAACATCCAAAAAGATCTCTCGACGTTTTTCTACAACCACTGATAAAAGAGTCGAAATATTTGTGGTCAACATGGGTGAGGACATATGATTGTTCAACAAAAACAAAATTTACGATGCGAGCGATGCTTTTGTGGACCATAAGTGACTTTCCTGCATATGGGATGTTGTCTGGGTGGACTACACATGGGAGATTAGCTTGTCCATATTGTAATGAAATGACAGATGCATTTCAGTTGAAGCATGGTAGGAAGACTAGTTGGTTCGATTGTCACCGTCGATTTCTTCCCGTTTATCACACATACCTAAGAAACAAGAAATTCTTCAGGTACAAAAAGGGTTGTCAGAGACACTCCTCCTCCATATTTAACTGGAGAACAAATCGAAGCGAAAATCAATTACTACGGTGGTGTTCAGCACAACTGGCACAAAAAGAGTATATTTTGGGAATTGCCATATTGGAAAGATCTTCTTTTGCACCACAACCTCGATGTGATGCATACAGAGAAGAACTTTTTTGAGAACATTGTGAACACTATATTGAATGTCCCAGGGAAGACGAAAGACAACGTAAAATCGAGGTTGGACTTACCTGATATCTGCTCAAGGAGTGAGCTACATATAAAAAGCAATGGGCAAGTTCCAGTTCCAATATTAAGACTGTCATCAGAAAAAAAGTTTGCGTTGTTCAACTGGGCGGCTTCAAAAGTGAAGTTCCCTGATGAGTATGTTTCAAATATCTCAAGATGTGTTGAGAAAGGGCAAAAGTTCTCCTGGATGAAGAGCCATGATTGTCATGTCTTTATGCAGCGACTACTTCCCTTTGCATTTGCGGAGCTACTACCGGCAAAAGTACATGAAGCACTTTCAGGTAATTAATTAATATAATACGATCATATGATTAATTTATTTCTTTATATATATATATACTAATGTGGATAATTTTTGTTTTTGTAATATATAAGGAATTGGAGCATTTTTTAGGGATCTGAGCACCCGCACTCTTAAAGTGGAAGTTGTCCAACAACTTCATGAAAACATCCCCGTCTTAATAAACAACTTGGAGAAAATATTTCCGCCTACTTTTTTTCGACGTCATGGAACACATAGTTGTCCACCTCCCGTATGAGGCATTACTTCGTGGACCTGTGCATTATGGATGGATGTATCAATATGAAATGGTCATGAAAACTTTGAAAGGAAAAGCCAAGAACCTAGCAAGAGTTGAAGGTTCTATTGTTGCGGGAAGTTTAACGGAAGAAACATCACATTTCACATCGTACTACTTTGCACCGAAAGTACGTACAAGGAAATGAGCTCCAAGAAGATATGATGATGGTGGTGTCGTGCC